CTCTCTCTCTCTCTCTCTCTCTCTCTCTCTTTCTCTCTCTCTCTCTCTCTCTCTCTCCTCCTCGCATACGTATGCTCTTCTCTTGCTTCGGAAAGCAGCGCACCGTATTACACCCTACTCTTTTCTACTTTAGTTTATCCTCGTCTATCCGTCTATCATTCATGTTCTCTTTCTTTCACTCCGATTTCCTATCTCATGCTATTTTCTTGTCTCAGTCCCTCACGCTCAGCGCTCTACACCCGAAGTGAAGTAGTCGATATCGTACTGCAGTCTGTCTCAAAATTAAAAGAAAAACGACAAATGCGTCGCGCATAGTCCGACTCGTATCTCTCATTATTATCCATCCATGTCCCTTTTATTCCCGGATTTCTTTCTTCAATTTATATTGTGTTGCATTATTATGCTCACAAAATATACATGTTATGCGACTGAAAAGTCACAATGGAATCAAATAATGACGTATATACGAAGATATACATATATTTTATTTTTAGCAAAACAATCAAATTAAGTCAACAGTTACGTAAAATTATCATATCTTTCGATCACTTATTTTTTCGCTTTACTTTTTGATAATTAGTCAATCTTAAGAGAAATTGTTTTGTAACATTTGCAATCCTGTGTCGCTCGAGTCAATCAAAATTCAAAAAGTATTTCTCTCCCTCGTTTCAGCCGAGTATTCTAATTAAATTTAAAAGTAAATGAACACCCTTCTATCGAAAAGAATTAGCTCTCGATCTATCAACTATCTATCAGTTATAAACTATCTTGTAATTATATCTGTATATATATATATATATATATATATACACTATTAATTTATCAGCTTTAAAAGTAGTTTTAAAAGAAAAGAAGAAAACAAAAGTATATACTTTGATTTCTTGAAATGCAATCACGTCATTCTATAAACTACATCATGCCAGTATTTCTACATTTTGGCATTATGTTTTATTTATTAGCCAATGACTTTTTTATTTTCATTCATGTTCATTCATAGACAGACTGTAATTGCGTAGACAAATTTAACATAATTTAGATAAAATTTTATCTGATGGGCCATTTCAAAAGATATTTCGTCTCATGAGTTTGTTGTCAAATGTAATAGATTTTTTCACTTACAATTAGCAATGTGACTCATTCTTCACATGTTTTCGGAAATGGAAATACGCTAAAAATAGAGGAAGAAGAAGCACTTACGCGTAACTAATTAATGCCAATCACTCTTCCACTAAATACTGCAACATCGCGAAATTAAAATATTGATCGAATTCTATCATGAACGAAGATGGGTGAAGAGAAGCAACAATAGCATTAGTAACAATATTACGTCCAATTGTAATATTATTGAATGAGAATGACGAGTCATTAGAGAAGAAAATTAATCGAAATTCACTTATTCATTTATTAAGGAGTCATTTATTAAGGATGTGTCATTATTTATTAAGGATATCTCAAAGCAGTATCAAAAATATAAAAATTTCTTAAATTGTCTATTATTACATCTAAGCATCTTTGTAAAATTTGAACAATTCTCTAGATTTAATGTTACTAAATTTTTTTCTTTGATTCTTAAAATCGCGGTTTGCAGTATTTATTTGCAAATTTATTGAGGAAATAACATTGCGAATCAAAATTTTTATATTTACTAATAAAACTATAATAAATATTTATGTAAAAGTTTATTTGAATCCATTTATGTGTTTAAAATTTATTTACCTAAAATTGCAATAAAATGTAGTCATTGCGCTGTATAAACCATTTATAAGCCAAATTATTTATTTTGTTTTTTGTAATTGATGTCAAGATGTATTTACAATTAAAAAGTTTTTTCACTGATATTAACCTTTTTGACTAATTTTTTAGCATTACTTTTACTGACATTAGCTTTAAGATTTATAATCGTTTAATAATGAGCGCGCGCGCATTATTAAATGCATACAATCTTTGCTACGAATTAAATATTAAGCAAGAACCGATTTATTCACCTCATAGTTTAATTTCTATATATACATTAACATAAAAAAAAAATCAAAAAAGAATGCCTATTAACTGATTTCAGATAATCTCTTACCTGAAGTTCCTCCTTACATTGACGTTCTTCTTCTAAACTCATTCGCTTTTCATGTTTCTTATAGTATCGCCTTTTGGCAGCTTGTAAGTTGAACCATGTATACGAAAAGGACTTCACGAATGGTAGAAGAGCTTCGATAAATGGATGGAATTCATCCTGCAAACATATAATATTTATTCTTTTCATAGGATTGTGCGTATTCATGTTGTTTATTAAACTTTTGCTCATAATTTGAAATTCGCTTTCAAGAGCACATGCAACTTTTGACTGTCGATAAAAATACCGAGTATTGTAAATAGAGGATATCGATGAAAAAATTGACGCATGAGCAAATGATATTTCGAATTAGTAATTCAATTATATAAGATTAATCAATAAGATTAATTTAATACATTCTGAAATATGTTTGTCAACAAAATAGATAAATATATGTTATTTATCTCGTATATAATAAAGATAATGTGAGATTTATCATCGTTTCTCTTAATGAATATAATCTCTCTATAATTCTTTAAAGTTTTTAGTTAGCTAAAGTTGATAGAAAAATAAGTTATTAAAAGAAATCACTTACTGATTTAAAAAAAGTATATTAAGTAAAAGTCATTTAATGATACGTTTTTAAAAAATAATATGCTTCAACTTTAACTTTATCAAAAAAAAGTTTAATTAATAGCAAAGCAAAGATAAATAGCGGAAAAATATTGAAGTGATAGATAGCAATAACGAAGTTATACGAATTAATAAATATTAGATATGGGAAAAAATTCGTGGCGTTTTTTTAATATCTAACGAGAAAAACGCCACGAACTTTTTCCTATACCTAATATTTATAGAAATCTACACGGTTAATAAATTTGAAAAAAATTTTATTCTTAGTATTTGATTAAATCCTTATATTATCTGAAAAGATTAGAGAATCTCCTCAATAGCAATGCTTTAATTCAACACCCCTCCCCCCCTCCCCCTCCC